CTGCTGTGAAGGAAGTGAGAGTTTCTTTGGAGTCTTCTATCTCTAGGCATGTATTGATTTGTACATTTTCCAAAATGTTGCCTCTCCTAGCTATTACTTTAAAATACGCAATATATTCTTGAATCTTCATTTACATATCAGTGATTATTCAGAAGGAATCTTCAACTGCTGTGTTACCACTTGCTGGATAGCAGTGATTTTGTCTTTCTTGCTAGGTGTGAATACTTCTTACTGTATCACATTGCCAAATGTGAATATAAAAAAAAAAAAAGCTGATTGGATCCCTTTTTCGAAAACATGCATTTTTTTAAATGGTTTGAAGTTGACTATGTAAAAGATTTTTCTGTTTTAGAATTTTTTAATACTTCATTTATTTAATGTCTCCTGCATTAATAGGAGTGGCTTTTTAAAGACCAAAACAAACCAGTGTTTCACTTAGAAATGTCCGTGGTTTATCCACAATATATCTGTTCAGCTTACCAATGTTTATAATAAGTATTTCTCTTACTTTCTAGGGTTTTCTTTTATTTTCTTTTTTAAGGCAATTGCTTGTGTAAGCAATTTTGAAGTTAAAAATTGTCTTATGAACGCTCTGGATGGAAAACAGTTACTTGGTACTGCATGATGATGAGTCCACTGAAGCTGTTCAGGTTTTGCAGGAACCAAGAAACAATGAGCAGCAATCTGAAGTTTAGATTAAATTATTCTGTGTCTTACAGGGACTTGCAAGAGGAATTTACAAATTTCCAAGTATGCAAAGAGTGGTATATTTTTTCTTCAGAAAACTGCTGTTTGAAAAGAATCTTAGCTATGGTACATTCGTGATCTACTGAGTTGCCACTAATAAGTAATCCTTCATGAATCAAGAGCTGGATGTTCAATTACACCCTTCCAGGAATTTGCCATTTATTCTGTGTATAGTGTCTTAAGTTAGGTCTCATTTTCTAGGCCTATAGTCCTTTTGATTTGTATCCTATAGTTGTATCCTCCGTAGCTGACTGAAAAAACACCCTACATTAAGAGAGATTCACCACGCATGTGCCCAGAGCATATGAAAAATCTTCAATTTTTTATGCCATGTAGCTGGCATGCATGAGACAGGTTATTGGTCACAACTGATGGGAAATGTATGGAGAGGGTGCTGTTGACAGGAAGTGCACATACTGCTCATTGAGGGGCTTTGGCAGGGAGGAAATGAGGGTCCTGCTGGTGGATAGAGGCAGTGGGCGAGAAACTGTGAGCTGTCGTGGAGCAGGGAGAAGTTCCTAAGTGCTCCCAGCCTGGAACCAGCTGAGAAGCTGCTTGCTGAGATAGCAGGTGCTGGGAGACAGAAAACTTTGAGTCTGTTCCTAGCTCTGCCATTCACGTAAGATCTTAGCCAAGTACCATCTCCTCCTCGTAACTCCCTTTCCTACTTCATCCATCTCATGTCTTTTGTATAACGTTTTTAGGTTTGCAACTATCTTTCAGTAGGTGTTTACCTAGAGCAGCTGACTGAACACAGCGTAATTTTTAGCTGAGCTGTGGAGTTAGGAACAACCTTGTCTTGCCTGTCCATCAAAGTTAAACAAGTACTGAGGAGTGGGAGAGGCTTGAACAGAGGCACCTGGCTTGGATTTTTTTTTTCCCAGTCTTGTTCCATTTTCTTAGCACATAGTTATGTTCCCACAGAATCACGGAATGGGTGGGGTTGGATGGGAGCTCTGGAGATTGCCTAGTCCAACACTGCTGTTCAAGCAGGGTCAGCTGCAGCGAGTTGCCCGAGACTGCATCCAGATGGCTTTTGAGTATCTTCATGAATGGAGACGCCACAACCTCTCTGGGCAGCCTGCTCTAGCGCTCTGTCACCCACACAGTAAAGAAGATTTTTTTTCTTATATTCAGACAGAACTTCCTGTCTTTCAGTTTGTGCCCGTTGCCTCTCGTCCTGTCACTGGGCGCCACGGAGAAGAGTGTGGCTCTGTCCTCTTTACACCCTCCCTTCAGATATTTATATATGCACTGATAAGATCCCGGTCCTGAGCCTTCTCTTCTCCAGGCTGAACAGTCCCAGCTCTCTCCCAGCCTTTCCTCATAGGAGAGATGCACCAGTCCCTTCATCATCTTAGTAGCCCTCCGCTGGACTCGCTCCAGGAGCTCCATGTCTCTCTCGTACTGAGGAGCCCAGAACTGGACCCAGCGCTCCAGACGTGGCCTCACCGGGGCTGAGTAGAGGGGAAAATGCAGGTTCCAACATAGTCATGATGAAAAGAGGTCATGAGTTACTGAAGTATAGACAGGCACTGTGCAATATTACTATGAAAAGAGATAAGAAACACTACCCAATATCTTTTTATTAGTTTGTGTATTTAGCGTTAGTGTATATTCAGGCGATTGGATCTTTGCCTTGGCTGAACTGTGGTCTTGGCAGACATGCCTTGCGTTTAGCCACTGACCCTGCCTGTCACTGCTGGTGGGCCTGGGAATAACTGAATTGGAAGGTTGTGTTCTTGTGAATGAAAAATATGCAAGTAAATGGCACTGTGTTTTACTCAGTCTCTCCTTATCAGATTGCTTCTGACCTCATCTGAACTGCTCCCTTTGCCAGAACTGAAATTGTGTGTGAGAGGAGACAGACTTAAACCAGTGGTGCATTAATGCAAACATTAATAGCATGCCTGCAAAGAACTGTCAAAATGAATGACAAATTACTTGTTCAGAGATGCTTAGTGCAATTAGGAAAAAGAATGTCTTAGTGTTTGCAGAGTAACCAGGAAGGCCTTTTGGCTCTTTTCTAAGAGGCCAGTAGCAGCAGGGTGTGTGCTGGCGGTTTGATTGCTCCACACTTTAAAAGAATGCTTAGTTTGCAAAATTTTCATTTCCTGTTTTTTATTCCTCAGTTACGAATTCCACGTGAAACCTAGAAACCCTCTTGGTGAAGGTCCAAGCAGCAATGTTGTGGCATTCAGTACTGAATCAGGTAAGGACTTCCAAAGGTCTGTCCATCATTTACAGTGGCTGTTCAGAAATCACTGATGATGCGCTCAGCCACTTGGGAATTAGTATTTAGTATCTTCAAATTAAACAGATAATGTGATCCTATGGATAGGATCCTAAAACTAGATTCAAAAGATTTGTCTGTGCCGCTAGTTTCCTATGTGTTAAAAACCCCTCGTTTTCTGTAGGTTTTATTATGCAAGATCAAGAATAGCATTTCTAGAGAGGAGGTGAATATGGCTTATATTGGAATCTAGAGCGTTATTTACTGGTCCACGGAGTAAAAACTTTATTCACATTTTTTAGGTGACTAGCATCATCTGTAAACTGAATTTTTGTTACCTTGTGTCTGCTGTATCCGTGTTTATGCACCGCTTTTTGTCTGGAATATATGAAAGCAGTGAGACCTTAGATAGTACTAAGCATACTTGGGCTCTCTTGCTTCATTGTGCATGTTTTGTTTTGTTCTTTACTACTACTACAGATTGGTTTTTGCTATTGAGCATGTTATGGTAGTGCCCGGGAAATGACTATGAGATCAGGGCTCTATTGTGCGAGGATATAAACTGGCCAGACTGCAGGAGGAAAAAAAAAAAAAAAAAAAAAAAACAGAGGGAGCTCTGGAGATTGCCTAGTCCAACACTGCTGTTCAAGCAGGGTCAGCTGCAGCGAGTTGCCCAAGACTGCATCCAGATGGCTTTTGAGTATCTTCATGAATGGAGACGCCACAACCTCTCTGGGCAGCCTGCTCTAGCGCTCTGTCACCCACACAGTAAAGAAGATTTTTTTTCTTATATTCAGACAGAACTTCCTGTCTTTCAGTTTGTGCCCGTTGCCTCTCGTCCTGTCACTGGGCGCCACGGAGAAGAGTGTGGCTCTGTCCTCTTTACACCCTCCCTTCAGATATTTATATATGCACTGATAAGATCCCGGTCCTGAGCCTTCTCTTCTCCAGGCTGAACAGTCCCAGCTCTCTCCCAGCCTTTCCTCATAGGAGAGATGCACCAGTCCCTTCATCATCTTAGTAGCCCTCCGCTGGACTCGCTCCAGGAGCTCCATGTCTCTCTCGTACTGAGGAGCCCAGAACTGGACCCAGCGCTCCAGACGTGGCCTCACCGGGGCTGAGTAGAGGGGAAAATGCAGGTTCCAACATAGTCATGATGAAAAGAGGTCATGAGTTACTGAAGTATAGACAGGCACTGTGCAATATTACTATGAAAAGAGATAAGAAACACTACCCAATATCTTTTTATTAGTTTGTGTATTTAGCGTTAGTGTATATTCAGGCGATTGGATCTTTGCCTTGGCTGAACTGTGGTCTTGGCAGACATGCCTTGCGTTTAGCCACTGACCCTGCCTGTCACTGCTGGTGGGCCTGGGAATAACTGAATTGGAAGGTTGTGTTCTTGTGAATGAAAAATATGCAAGTAAATGGCACTGTGTTTTACTCAGTCTCTCCTTATCAGATTGCTTCTGACCTCATCTGAACTGCTCCCTTTGCCAGAACTGAAATTGTGTGTGAGAGGAGACAGACTTAAACCAGTGGTGCATTAATGCAAACATTAATAGCATGCCTGCAAAGAACTGTCAAAATGAATGACAAATTACTTGTTCAGAGATGCTTAGTGCAATTAGGAAAAAGAATGTCTTAGTGTTTGCAGAGTAACCAGGAAGGCCTTTTGGCTCTTTTCTAAGAGGCCAGTAGCAGCAGGGTGTGTGCTGGCGGTTTGATTGCTCCACACTTTAAAAGAATGCTTAGTTTGCAAAATTTTCATTTCCTGTTTTTTATTCCTCAGTTACGAATTCCACGTGAAACCTAGAAACCCTCTTGGTGAAGGTCCAAGCAGCAATGTTGTGGCATTCAGTACTGAATCAGGTAAGGACTTCCAAAGGTCTGTCCATCATTTACAGTGGCTGTTCAGAAATCACTGATGATGCGCTCAGCCACTTGGGAATTAGTATTTAGTATCTTCAAATTAAACAGATAATGTGATCCTATGGATAGGATCCTAAAACTAGATTCAAAAGATTTGTCTGTGCCGCTAGTTTCCTATGTGTTAAAAACCCCTCGTTTTCTGTAGGTTTTATTATGCAAGATCAAGAATAGCATTTCTAGAGAGGAGGTGAATATGGCTTATATTGGAATCTAGAGCGTTATTTACTGGTCCACGGAGTAAAAACTTTATTCACATTTTTTAGGTGACTAGCATCATCTGTAAACTGAATTTTTGTTACCTTGTGTCTGCTGTATCCGTGTTTATGCACCACTTTTTGTCTGGAATATATGAAAGCAGTGAGACCTTAGATAGTACTAAGCATACTTGGGCTCTCTTGCTTCATTGTGCATGTTTTGTTTTGTTCTTTACTACTACTACAGATTGGTTTTTGCTATTGAGCATGTTATGGTAGTGCCCGGGAAATGACTATGAGATCAGGGCTCTATTGTGCGAGGATATAAACTGGCCAGACTGCAGGAGGAAAAAAAAAAAAAAAAAAAAAAAGCCAGAGCACAGAGAGATCAGGTGTCTGGTATTCGCTGTGAAGAAACTTACTTTATACTTAAAGAAGGCTCAGTCATTTAAGATTAATATTCCTGGCGTTTCTGTGTCTATGAAACTCATCTGCGATAGCCTGGAAAATTTCTGAGGAACATAAGGTTATTCTTTGGGCTGACATGTTTATATGCACTTCTGCTACCTTTTCAAAAAGACTACTGTGTAATAAGTAGTGTTGTTTGACTCAAATTAAGGACTGAGAAATAGCAGTTTGGAAATGCTGAAGTCCCAGTATGTGTTCTTTCATCCTGTTTACTCTCCTGTGAAACTGTTAGAGAGGAACACATAAGCCTATTTAGAGAATTGGTTGGTTCCCAAGTCGTACCTGAATCAGAGAGTGCCTTTGCTTCCCATATTCCAGTTTCCAGTGCAGCTGACTATAGTTGTTGACTTTGTACAAGCAGGATATTCTTTTTTGTGTAGATCTGGTTATTGCTTGATAGTACTCCAGGACCGTATAAAAACAATATGGATTTAGCCTCTTTAAAGGGGACGTTCTCAGGCAGCATTTTGAGCCAGGTATCACAATAGTCCTTACATAGTCCTCAGTCAGGGATGAATCAGAGTTTTGGCTGAGCAGGGAATTAGCCAGGGAGGAGTTCAGACTATGCCTCACATATTTTAAAACTGTGAATACACTCTTTGTAACCCTAGGCTGTTAAAGCTGAAAAAATGTTTACGCTGAATGCAGTTTTCATGAATGACACAGCTGACTTTCTGTCTCCTCTTCAGTTTGTACAAATTAAGCAGTCAGTTTTGTTTTTTTCTTAATTGCACACATCCTTTTCTCACTTTAGAGCTTTCATATTAGAGTTTTGTGTTGCAAGTATTGCAGAGGAGTCCTTTTTATTATTTAAGTTTTGAAATTGAAATCTGAAAAAAATGCTGTAAAAGTGATTTTTTTTACTGGTAGCAGGTTTTATACTCTTGATTTCACTGACCCTCAGTTTGAGTGGTATCGCACCATATTACTTACATTTTTAAAAGCTCATTAATGCAGTAGTTTCACACAATGAGGCAAGAAATTTATTTCTTCAGTTGAATGCAAAAAATGTAGAGAGCTTTGCTTTCCAAACTCTTTGTTTTGCAGATTATAGCTTATGTCATGTACAGAAAATAACTTACTAATGCTTTTCCATTGAAATAGCGGGAAAGTTCAGTATACAGTGTCTGACTGAATGTTTATTTTCTTTCCCCAGCGGACCCAAGAGTGAGCGAGCCAATTTCAAGTAAGGTTTTTATGTATAGTAATAGTGTATTCTGATCAGGGATTTTTTTCAGAAGTGAGATGATAGCATTATCTTATGAGGGAGGTGGCTGTACTGTGTCAGTTAAATGAACCCTGGAGTAGAACAGCATTCGCACATGATTTCACTCCTTCCACCTGGACTGTAAGGAAATCATGCCAGGCTAAATGTTTACCGGAGCAGAACACAGTCAATGTAATGTGGTGCTCAGGTGGCAGCTACGAGGGCTTCACACCAAGGCACACACATGAGAAAAGACAGCCTCATAGTGTCTCAAGCCTGGTCATTAAATGAAAAGAAAGCTCTGTAAAATGAATAAGCTGTTTTGCACTTTTGTGAGTGAGTTAACGGAGCACACACAATTCAGAGGTTACTATTTATCTGTCATTGTGCTTTTGAAAAATTGTCTGCTTCTGAAGGTTTGATCCAGCTCTGCTTTAGGCCACTTTGAAGACCCTTGCTGTGTTTGGTGGGAGGTGGATTGAGCTTTTGAAGAGCAGCTGAGATCCGTTCAAGAGAACTGGGCTGCTTTTTGTATTTGTAATGGAAATCACTTTGACAAACATGAAGTATCTTTTCTTTCCGCCTAATTCATGACACTTGAACTTTTTGTTTGTTTGTTTGTTTGTTATCGCATACTGTTTGCTGGGAGTTGACTTTCCTGGCTTCAATCCTCTGAAAAGCAATGACTGTATCACACACTGTAAATAAGAGCTTTGCCAAACACACAGACATTGTCCCCCTACCAAGACAATGCATCCTAGAGTGAGCTGATTCCAAACTGACACCGCTGACACAGAGAGCTGAAGCTGTTCACTGCATCAGTCTTATCAGCACACTTTGGTGCTTCCCTAACATAGCTTTCAAAAAGTTGACTAGTACTATTAGTATACTCCAAGATACATTCCGCTCTATCAAGGTTTTAATTCTGTTTATCTAAGTATGTTTGTCATACGTAATTTCATATGCCATATCATACTTAAGCCTCTTTCTTCCTCTCCTGCAGTGGGAAAGGATGCTATCTGGACTGAAATCCCATTCAATTCTGACACCTATTCAGAATGCAAAGGGAAACAATACGTAAAGAGGACTTGGTATAAGAAGTTTGTAGGTGTGCAGCTGTGTAATTCTTTAAGATATAAGATATACCTCAGTGACTCGCTTACAGGTAAGAGACATTCAGGTCAATGTCGTCCACATTATACACTCCTCAAGATATGGGTCCAGAACTAAGAAGTTTAACAAGATTGGCTCTGCTGAAATGTAATCAGAGATGTTTAATCTATTCCATAGACAGATTAATCATAAATATTAATCTGCCTGTGCTCAGTAATCATGAATGCAGTTGATACCAGACTTTCCAAGACTCACGAGTTACTTCTCTGTGGTCATCATCTGTTGTACAGCACCTCTTAGTATCCTGGGGATCATACAGAATGTTTGTAAAGACCAGGTCTCTGCTGGGGAATAGCTTACATTGTTAAGGTGCCAATCTTGCATTTAGAAAGTGGCCCAGGATAGTTCTTGATGCAGGATTAGGGCCTAATTTTAGCCCATGATTAGAGCTCAGTCATTCCCACCCCATTTGGTAGACATCTGGTTACTTCGTTATTGTGGGGCTTATTTTAGTATGTGTTAAATATATGGCTTCTACTCTAATTAACAGGTTTTACTCACCTGCTTTTACGTTTTGTTTTCACATTACCCATTTGTGTTTATGATCTCTTTTTTTTTTCCTCCTTTTTTTTTTTTTTAATATAATGGTTCATTACCAGCAGCAACATCCTGGCCTTAGTTTTTCAAGCATTGTTCAGTGTAGTAAGTTCACTAAACAGTGGCGTATTTAAAGCCTGATCGCTGTTCTTTGTCCTGCCTACTGAGAATGGTTTGATCCTGCTCCTTCTAGAACTTCAGTGTATCCACAAGGAGGTTCATATCCAGCTGTTACAGAGCTTTGGTGTTGCCTTCCCGTGTATTTACTGACAAGTTTGGGCACTGCAGTTTGGAGGAATCTGTCTTCCTCCCTTCAGATCCCCTGCAGCACTTTTGAGAGTGGCTGAGCTTTATGGGGGCTGTGACTAGGGCGGGCAGACATCCCTGGCTTTGTCACCTGGCTGCATACTTGACTCAAGTGACACATGCTGTGTGTAAGCTGAGGAAACAGCTTGCAAAAAGTATTTTTCAGCTAGCTGATATTTAAGCAGTATTTTGCATCTCGTGTGGATTGTACAAGCTGTATTTAGAAATACTTAGTTTATAATCTACCCCAATCTACCCCGAGCACCTGACTTTCTTGTGTATGAGGTCTTTTACCTGAGCTGTATTGACAACTGGTGTTAGTATAGCATCCAGACTGCAGAGAATAAAGTAGATCTGTGTATGGGAAATGTCTTTGAGTGCAAGTTATATTCTTCAAATTGGCAGATATATTCTTCAAATCGGATTGAATCAAATAGGAGAAACAGTGGTTGAAAGAATCAGATGTATAACCCAAAGCTGCCCCATTTCAGAGCTCAGCCCCTCACAGGAGCAGGGCTCAGTAGTCTCTGTGTGTGGAAACAGGGGTGAAAAAAAGAGCAGAGCGCGTAGGACAGCCCATGCCAATTTAATTATAAGTTGCCTGGCCTTGCACCCGCCACCATTCCCCCATGAGCAGACAATGAAGGAAAGCCCTGTCGTTAATAGTAAGTGCAATACCTCACCGTAAATAATATCTTGGCAAATCTGTGAATAAGAGAGACTGTTTTGAACAGACGTATCATTCATTCACCCATTGCTGTACTAACCAACTGTGATCAAATGACAAAAACTGGCAATGAGGCACAGCATATCACAAAACTAGCCAGTAGAGGAAATAGCATTGCTAATCTAGCAGGACTAGACTTCAGCCCTAAATCAAGTGAATTAACACTGCACTGAAAGCTACTTCAGTCTTAGAATGAAAGTTTAACATATCAGCAGCCCATTTTCCTATTTTCATTAGATTGTTTTTGTTCTTGCTGGAAGACTGGAGATTTGACTTGGCTGGGGAAAGATGATGGTAGCCACACTGTATTCATTTCACTTGCTAAGCCTGGTTCTTGCACTTGAACTGTTAAAACCAGTTGTCACAATATTTGAAGGAATTTAAATGTTTATGTAAAGGTAAAGCCATTCTGTGTTTTTCACCACTCTTTGGTAAGTGAGACTGATATGGCACGGACCTCTCTATTAAAGCGGGAGAGTTTCCACTTTGAAGCCAAGCTTTTGTTCTGACATGTTGCACTATCACGCACTGTCTCATCGCGCCCCTGAGGCCAGTGGAAGTACATCTGCGAGGCTGGGCCAGCTGGGCCACGGCCGATCGTGAAAGGCCGTGCTGAGGTCTGAGTTCCATGTTGCACTAAAAATATCTTCGGAAGCTTTTCTGTTTAAGCAGGGTAACGATCTTGAAATGTGAGTGCATTGTATGTGTACTCTTGTATAAGGCAGCCAACAGCCATGTCTTTCTAGGCTGTTTTTTAGCGTGCATTCACACTACTGTTGTTGCAGAACTCACAATGGGTAAAACTGCATCTGATTTGCTTAAGACCATCCATAATGAGGGAACACTTACTTAAAAAAAAAAAATTAAAAAATGAAGTATTACATTTACTTTATGCTAGAATTACTATTCACGGAAGAGTAAGGTGAATCTAGTCATTTGTTACCTAAAAGTTTTTCAAGTATGGTCCTTATTATGGAAATAATTGGACAGTGAGAATTTAGTAGATATTCACTGAGAACACTGCTAATTTATGTATAGCAAGTGCTTGAATTATGCATGTTTTACATTGTGGTCCAGAAGAGCATACAAATATCTGAAAGTTACTGTTCTTTTGTTAGCCATATAAATATCATTTTTACTCTGCCTCTAGTGAAGAAAAACTGGTCTGTTACACATGCCAGTACTGTTCTATAAACCAGCATCTACTGCTGACCTCATTTAACAGTCCTCCAGAGCAGTCACTGTAAGCATTCCAGAAGATCAGGCCACCAAAGAAAAGTATTTATTGAGGAGAGGAAAATATTAAATTTTAAGTGTGACCTTCAACAGCCATGGGGAAAAAAAAATGCAGTTTTGGGCAGCCTGAATGTTCTTAATTTCAGACCAAAAATTTACCAAGAGAAACTCCCTCTGACCAGTTCTCCTATGGAAAAAATATGCCTACAGCCAAAACTAGACAGTAATAAATATTTTTCTAAAGCTAGTGCAGAACTCCATGCACAGAGACTAGCTAGAGGTGAGAATTTTTGGCAAAGTGTTGAGCAGATCACAAAAACATAAGAAAGGATGTATTGTTGGTAGGTTGCTACTTTATTAGGAGAACTTCAGAGAGGAGCATTATAAGCCACCTCACCGTCTCTCAAATGGCCAGACTGGCACAGATTGAAGGCCACCAGAGTCCCAATGTCTAATGAGTAACTGGATTTTCTGCTTAGCTAATACTTGAGGACTCAGCACGGAGCCTATTTCTACATGCTCTCGCTGTTTCTTTCAACTTCACAACTGGAAGCAGCAAAGGGTATGAGAGGCTGCTTTGTTTTGCAAAGCTATTCAGTCCCTCATTCTAGAGGGAGAAAGATTTACCTCTAAATCTTTTTGGTTAGTTTGTCTCTAAATAACCGGAGGTTGAACTGATTAAGAACAAGTGCTGTGAAAGGCATTCAGAAAAGGCAGTAAGTTTATCTGAAAATGTTTCCTGCCAAGGCCCAAGAAGAAAAGATTGCATGCTTTCCTCCATCTTCTGAACTGAATTTTACTAAAGTTGTGTGAACCGAATCGGTAAAGATCTCTCTGTCAAAACTATCTCACTGTAAGTCCTGTTATTAGCTGATAAAGACAGCCTGTAACGTCAGCACATACTGCATGTGGCACTTGGGAACTTTTCTTCCACTTAGTTGCAGTTAAGTGTTCTGTTAGCAATCCTGCAACTAAACATGGGCACACCTATTCTCTGGATAAGCAGCTGCTGTACCTCGGTCATGTATTTATTAGCTACATGTAAGAAGATGGTGCTGTATAAAGCAGGACTTAGACAAGTTATGAAATGGCATATAAAACCATCTTTGAAGATACCCTGGCCTTCCTGACAAGGGTCCAAACCTGCCTTCCAATAAAATCGGTGGCAAAACTTACTCCTTTTTGTTAAAATCAGGATGAGGGTCTCAATCAGAAGAGAATTTCACTTACTGTATGAAATATAAGGACGGGAAAAAATACGTTCAGGTATTAGATTTTGCCCAGCAGTGGATACCAGCAATTGTCTGCTGCTGTGAGCACCGTACTTGGAGTATGGGCCATAATGTTCCAATTACAGATATAGATCCTGAGATAAAAAGACTCTTGGCGTTCAGCTTGGCTTCACAGCGGAGCTAGCAGTACAGACCATTAGCTCTGATGGTTTTCAGAAATAGGCCTCCCTAAAGTTCATATGGATTTTCAACTTTGCTGCTTCTTTGCTTTCAGGAAAATTTTATAACATAGGAGACCAGAGGGGCCATGGAGAAGATCACTGCCAATTTGTAGACTCATTCTTAGATGGAAGGACAGGACAGCAAGATGATCTACCAGTCAAAGATGGTAACGCCTGTCTCTGTAGCGAACCTTCGCGATTCCTTTGTTTGTCCGGTTGTTTTTCCTGCCAGTGGATTCAGGGTCCATTGCTGGGCTGGGCAATGGAATGAGACTGTCGACCTTCCAGGCAGAAAAGAGTCGAGAAGGTTTTGGAGATGAGCAATGGCATGTTAAAAGGTTATGATTTGGGTTCTGTGAGGTAGTAAACAGCCTCCCTCGTATTTAAAACTTTCCAACAGAGTATTCACAGTTGGTATTACATATTTAAACCCAGCCACAAATTTGAGTTTACAGAGAGGCATGAAGTGTTATGCTCAAACTAGCAAGGTTGATTTAAAGTGCAGTAAATCATCAGTTGGGCATGCAATAGCTTTATTTAGTGATAATGAGAAACTAAGAAGTTTATTACTGGAAAATGTAATTCATGCTGCAGTAACTCTGTGTACTAATTCAAACCAGGTGCCTAGAATTCCAGCCTGGTCTAATCAAGTAGGCATGGGACTAAATGTCCTGAAAGCAGCTGTGACCTGCTTAGCTATTTTTCCTCTCTTGTTGCTGAGGCTTGCGTATAAGAAAATTGTACCCTTCTGCCAGCCGAACTACTGCCTTCCTCGTGTACAGCCTTATCAGTATGGTGTAGTCCTATCCCTTGTGGAGTAAGAGGATAGGCTATATAGCTATACCTGTGCATAATGTAATATCTTACTGAGAAAAACACCAACAGTTTTCAATACAGTATCGGTGAGTTGACAAAAACCTATGTCGACATAATGCTTCATTTATAAAACATCTTACAGAAATACAGAAATGTGTGGTGGGAGTTGTGTGAAAACAGTGCAAAGAGATTAAACTCCAGTGCCTAAATCTTTTACCAGTTTTTCAAAATGCAAAATAAGTAAATAATCTACCAGGTGATTGATGATTACGTGGATTTTTATTTTTTTCTAAGAGGGCTTTGCTTTCCCTTTGCCAGCAAGTGTTGTCCATTTGTAAAGGTACCTTGTTTGTATTGGGGATTGTCTGAATCCATTTTGGCATTGCCACAACAGTAGACAGCTCAGCTATATCAGATTCACATTTTTAAAATATTTTATACCAAAAAAGCTTTTATAGATGTTAAAAAAAAAGCTGTCTACCCTGTAAGCTTACAAAACATTGCCAACCAATTTGGTTTTGACTAGTAAGTAAGTTTAATGGACTATTCATGAGCAACTGGAATCTCATCAATCATGTTCATTTTTTTAGGGGGGGAAAAAAAAAAAATCCCTATCTGTAGCCTTCTGTTTCTAGTAAATGAACTGAACGGACAAATTGCTCACTGCTGCTTAGACCCCTCCCTAGCTCTAGCAAGAGGTTGCATTCGTTCTTTTCAAACCAGACCTAACAATGGATATGTTTGATCTGAAATGCAAAGAAGGTCTGGTTGGATAATTGCTCACTTACTTACTTCTTTCTTTAACATCGCATAAATTGTTTGAATTGGAAATATGTATATTGTTCTACAGAATGACAGATTTAAAGGAGGAGGTAAGAGCTTTAACTCGAGGATGGGGACAGCATGTGAAATATCCCCAACTGGCAAGTTTTATTTGGGTTCACTGTAGTTTGAAGACTACTGCACTGGTACTACTTAATTAATCATAACAACTTTGCAAGGAGGAACAGAGGCTACCAGTGACGGTTTCAGCCTGGTATGTAGAGAAGGCCCCAGGCAGTGGCAGCAGGGCATTTGTCCCTTTCCTTGCCAGCACCACCACTGTGTGAATGCTGGGAGCAGAAGTCTCCGGAGAAGCCAGGCCATCCCTCTCGGTCCTGTTCTGGGCTGCGGTGGTCCCGAGCACTTCCCCTTTTTCTCATTTGGTGGACAAATTCCAGTTGCTTCGCACTGCTCATCACAGTCTATGTCTGGCTTAACAGGGGCAGGAACTAAACCCATCTGTGGCAGGTGGCTCAGTGATTAGGTCATCTGTGAATTTAATTGCACACAGAGTCACAGGGAAGTGAAAGGAAAGTACTGTCTTACGCAAACAAAACTCTATTCTCTGTTCTAGGATTTTTCAGGGCAGTTCGCCAGGAACCCGTCAAATTTGGAAAAATAGGTGGCGAGACTCACATTAACTATGTTCGTTGGTATGAATGTGGAACATCAATACCTGGGAAATGGTAGACATGACATGAACTTGGTTGAGAAAGAAGTCCATCACTATCCACCCCTTCCAACTGCCCAAAGCAAGCTCAAAGATGGAAATGTTTATGGTATGCCTGTCATGTAAACAATTTTGCTAATGTGTAATGGTTTATACAAATCTAATGGACAATACTGCATTAATTGCGTAATAGCATAGGCTGCTTACTGTAGTTATCCAGTTCTACAAATTTGTTTTTAGGTTACAAAAAAAACCAGGTTAAGGACATGGTATAGGATAACGTATAGGGAAGCTGGCTCCCTATTCTTGAGGTATGGTTTATATGGTATTTTAAAAGATATGCTGTGTGTATATTATTTATCACAATGTTGTAATAAATGTTTAAGGCACAGTTATGGCAAAGTTGGTCATGGAATGCAATGTGCATTAGTTTTAAATAGTCACTGATTTTTTTTATTGTAACGTAAAGTGCTATAAGTTACCTGTCCAGATAAATCTGTAATGTCCCCCCCATTCATAAATTATAGAATAGAAGAAAGACCCTTAATTTTTTAATATCATCTTGCAACCAATAACCTTGAAGCGCTTTCTCCTTAAGACAGTTCATACTCCTGCCAAAAAAAAAAAAAAAAGAAAACCCACAGGTACGCTTATTGTACGTGCAGCTTTAAACGATCAAGTTAGTGGGTTGGGTTTTTTTTTTCTTTTTTTTCCATGTTTGCTTTCAAATGCAAGCTTCAATTCTGGCAAAACAGTATGAGCAGCCTATTGCTAAGAAGTTAGAAACACTTGCCTGTTTAGCTTGGCAGTGCTTTAGTGGGTTTGTTTTGTTTTTTTTCTGTAATTACAGCAGACAGGTATGTATGTACGTGGAAAAAAAAAATGCAACTGGTCTCCACTGCCCTGGCTTTTAAATAAAGTATACTGTTTTCAGAGGTTTAGATTTAATAATACTTCAAAGGCCAAATGTATATATAGTGCAGGAGAATTTGGAAAGCTATATGAAATGCAGAAGGGAGCCCCCTGTATTTAAAACTAAGCTAATAATAATAGCACAACTTGCTTTATAACACAGAAAAATGTTGTTTAAAAATTGTTTGTTGTTGGGGGAAAAAGGGAAAATAGTGATAAATGAACTTTTAAAACTGCTTTACATTAATTTTGATTAAAATCTCTCCCAAGCTACTTCTTGTACTGCTTGAACATTTATGAACTAAATAAAGAGATGTAGTTTTTTTTAAAGGTGTTATTCATTACACTACTAATGTATTGAAAAAATATGAACAGGAACACTAAGATATATATATAGTAGAAATAATCATTTATAGAAAATACCTTTAAAGTACATTGCAGGTACACTGTACTACTACTAATAAAATATTTTTTAATCAAATGTTTTTCTTAGTGTTGTACAAAAAAAATAGTTTCTGTGGTAAATGCTGTTTCAGGAAGCAGTTCCTTCTGGAACAGGCACATGCTGAATGGTTTGCCCAACACCGGCTGTGTTAGGTCTGACAAGGTATCAGACAGCCATAATGACATATTATTGCTTACTGGACATATTTGCATTTGATGTAAAAGCAATATTAATGGTGCCTAAGTTCAGAAGTACTTTTACTCCCTTTATTTCTTAATTTATGAGAGTTCAAGAAGCTTGCCCTGATTTTTTTTTTTTTTTAAAAAGGAACCAAAGTCCCTACTCTTAGTTTTATATGTTCCTAGAATCCCTAAGATGGAAAATATTAACCAGGAGAATGTTTTGCCCTTTCCTGTTGTATGGTCTATTGAATTTGTTACAGCTCTTGATCTGTTTTTTCTTGGCTCAAAATGGAGTCACTGGAATTGCACTCTCAAGTTTTTCCGGTGGCAAAGAAGCTGTGGTAAGTTGTTCCTTTTTAAGAGTTTTTTTTTTTCCCCCCCTCTAGCTTAGTTATTGGCTCAATCATTCAAGTCAAAAACCTGTTCTTCTCCCTCCCTTGTTAAAATGAAATGGTTGCGGGGGGGGGGGAGGGGGGGCTAAGATTTTATGCATTAGTTCATACTCTGTGGTAACAGAGTTACTTAGCAATTAATAACAGCTGACAGTGCAAGACTGTGTACAGCATGATCTGTGCAAAAGTAGGCTGCATTCACAAACTTTCTCCACTTACCTGGACAAAGTAGGTGACCAGACCTAAGAGTCTGCCACTTTTCTTAGAACCCTGGTATCTGTACACCTAGCACGCACACTTACTTGTCTCACAGAATCACAGAATGGTTGAGGTTGGAAGGGACCTCTGGAGATCATCTAGTCCAACCTCCCTGCTCAAGCAGGGTCCTCTAGAGAAGATTGCCCAGGATCACATCCAGACGGGTTTTGAATATCTCCAGCGAAGGAGACTCCACTACCTCTCTGGGCAACCTGCTCCAGTGCTCTGTCACCCTCACAGTGAAGAAGTTTTTTCTCAGGTTCAGATGGAACTTCCTGTGGTTCAGGACCACTTCCTGTGGTCTCCTTAACATAGCTTTCTTGTTCTGTATTACCAAAATTTTAAAATCAAAACCAGACAAATAATATATTCAGGACTTTTATTAGCTTTCCATGTGAGCATTACAGTTTATAATACATCATATCTACTTTCAACTCCAGAATGAATCTAATTTAGTACATCATGGTATTAGTAAAAACAAGCCTGGTAAGTGGGCTAAACTTCCAACTAGCATTTTAATATCCTTCAAACAAGGCAAGCTAGAATGTCAATCACTTTACAGACATTTTAAGTAGTGTTTCCCAAAACAAAAAAAGAGGAAAAAAACAAAACCAAAAAAAAAAAAACCCCACAATCCAACCCCAAATTAAACTAAGAAGCAGATACAATTTAAAGCAGAAAAGATTCATTTGGTCATTTCCCCCCCACCCCCAGCAGAATTTAATTACCAGCTATAGTTATAAAGGATATTTTGCCTCATTATGGTTTTGGAACCTCAATTAAAAATACTGGAGTCAGTTGGGATGGAAGGGTACGTGAGAGTCGCCCGCGTTCAGCAGCACCAGGTCCTTATCGGTAGCCAGGTCCTGGCTGGGGGCAGCCCTGGCCAAACGGAGGCCGGCTGCGGGCATAGGGGTTGGGCCCACTGGGTGGGGGGGTCATGGTGCTTCCTGGCGGGGGGGTGAAGCCAGGCCGTGGCTGGTAGGTGCCCGGCGCTGCCTGGGAGCCTGGGG